TGCACAGCCAGAGTTTGCCTTACTGCAGTTAAAGCAGAAAAATGGGACTGGACTGTGTACAGAGTAGGAATGTTTTGGGATGCTGTAACTGGAAGCAGAAACCTGGCACAGTACTAACTATCCAAAAGGCCAGTCAGATGATGACAGAGGACAGGTCTTGGTCCTCTTCCTGACTCCTGCCTAAAGGAACAACATACAAATGCTGGGGAAGAGTTTTAATGGGAAGAAGATTTGTAGAAAGTTCCAGGAACAGAGTGTGTATGTTTGTATTTGGTTTCAAACCTGTCTTGAAAATACACGACTCATATCCTGCATGCTCTGAGTCATGGTGCTGGAACCCAGATGGCTCCTGTTGAGAGTGGCAGTGATGGTAAAGAATAACAAGGGAGGGACTAGTGGCACTGATGCCAAAAGACAAGACAGAAGCCAACTGAAAGAGAGACTTTTGCCAAACCAAGCATTCAATGTGTATGAATCACATCCTCAGATTACAAGGTTAATTTAGAATTTTTGAGATCTTATGTGTTTGTGATATCCTCTACATTTTAAGTTTTGTTTATTTAGCTTAGCAGCTGTGGAAATTAAATGATTGTGTGTGTTCAGATGAAGAAGTATTTCACATCATAGGTTGGAGCTATCTTGATCAACATTGTTCTGTTTCACTTTCATTATTCACTCCTCTGAGTCTTGTGTTAATGGCCGGTTGTTTGTAACATAGTTAAGAGCAGGAATATTTAAGATTATTTTACAGTTTAATAGCATTAGGATGCCTTTTCACAAGTAATTTTGATTTCATACATCAAATATGTTTCTTGTAATATCCATCCAGATAATCAAGAATAATGTACAGGAATGCTAGTATCTTTTCTCTGGTTTTTGAATGATCCTAAACAGACGTTGAGATTTAAAGGTTTTGATTTTAAACACACTTTCAGATTCCAAGACTTCCTTCATATGCATAAATTCAGTCATTCTGTGTTCATTATAAGTCATAGCTTACTAGCTAATACATTACACTAAAATATGATTGATGCTGAATTAGGCAGTAGTTCCTAAGGTTTGTAGTATAATGCCCAAAGTTGAGCATCTCACTTTTCAGGAAGAAAACCTAAAAATGGAGTGCTTGCACTCCAACAGAATCAGATTACAGCAGTCTCTTGTTTTGGTCTAGTATAAGCAGTCTCTTGTTTTGGTCTACTATACTATATTTGGCCTTCCCCAACCCGGTACTTCAAGATATTTATTATCTATTTTATTAAAGTCTTTCATTGCCTAATAGCTGAAGCTCTAGTATTCATATTGTATAGTACCATATATAAGATAGTATCAAATGGTCACCAGTTCCATAACTTTATCCCATCACTCCACACACCCAGATTGGTTCATCCTACACATCTAGAGGATGCTAAGTTGAGACAGTCTGTTCTAAAATGAATAGTTTTTTTAATATATAAGATAGTATCAAATGGTCACCAGTTCCATAACTTTATCCCATCACTCCACACACCCAGATTGGTTCATCCTACACATCTAGAGGATGCTAAGTTGAGACAGTCTGTTCTAAAATGAATAGTTTTTTAAAAAAATTATTGCTTTAAATGAAACTTTGCCTGCTACTGGTACTGATTTTCAGTTACTTTC